AGGACTGGCTGCAGGCTCTGGACTGGCTGCAGGCTCAGGACTGGCTGTAGGCTCTGGACTGGCTGCAGGTTCTGGACTGACTGCAGGCTCTGGACTGGCTGCAGGCTCTGGGCTGGCTGCAGGTTCAGGGCTGGATGCAGGCTCTGGGACTGAGTCTCTGTAACCCTTCTGTCATCGACCTCTCCGATGTGGGCGGCGATGTGGTTCAGGTCCAGGACTGAGCCGAGAGAGAGGAGCTGAGCATGAATGTGGTGATAGTGCGTCCGGGTCTGTGGGTTCAGAACAGGCTAGATCCTCGTACTGCGTGGGTAACGCAAAGGCTGCAGGAGATGGGGAAACTACGGGTACTGTGGTAGGCCAGAAGGTGACCACAGGGACTGCAGCTGCGAGGATCTCTGGATCAGGGAGTCCGGGACTGGTTCAGAAACAGAAGAGTGGTGTTTGGGTGGAGGACTAGGACTGGTAGTGTATGGTTGGATGAGTGGCTTCAGCTAACGTTCTTCTGCCAGCACCTCGTCCAATATGTCTTCCATACCAGGAGAGTCAATTAGTCCGGGGAGACGAACATATTTATCAAACATGTTTTTTGTGGCCACCCACCTTTCCCACAGGTTACAGGAGGTGGCTGAGTCCACATACCTTTGGACTGTGTCACAGAGTAAAGAATAATCCTTCATAGAGAGTCCAGACAAAAATCTCTCACCTGCTGGGTTCATGGTTGGTCGTGTCGTACTGTCAGGGTTTCAGACAGAGAAGGGCAGGAGTGAACCCAATAATGCAGGGAAAGACTCAGTACTCAAGGATTTACAAAAATAAATACTTTTTAATAATAATAATAATAAATCAAAAAGGCTGATGTGGCAGCAACTTACAAAAACAGGGAACAAGGAACAGATCAGGCTGGCAGGACAGGACAATACCCAACAACGATGCAACAAAGGACAAGACTCACTGACAGGCTTAAATACACAGACAAGACAGGACGTGATTGCAAACAGCTGAGAACAGAAGGTGAAATCAATAAGGATTAAATGAGACACACAAGGGTGCACAGACAGAAAACGCCCACAAGATGGCGCCATCCCTACAGGTACCTTTCAAAAAAAATCGGTATCAGTGTCTGTACCTTCACTTCGGTGTCGGTTCCTGGACGGTTCTTCTTTCGGTACCAATTTTGTAATTAATATTAATTCTAACAAAGAAAATTACGTTACACATTACAGTACAAATCTTGGTTTATTTTTTTTAACTTTGGTATTTTTCCATTCCAAACAGTTTTCTTACATAAAAATAAATAATTTCCAGTTCAAAGGAACAGTTTCAAACCAGTGACACGTCAGTGTCTAATGCTCACTGTTACACACTGAGGACCTTTTCACTGAACAGTTTTTCTTCAGAAACAACATGTCTGCTTTCTCTGGACAAACAAGCCCACTCCTGTCTGACGGTGTCTCCAGGAGTAGAAAATGTTCACTCTGAGGCTGTAGATGATGATTGTTGCACACACAGATACCTGGTTGACCAGTTTGACAGCACTGACATATTGTCCCTCACATTCCACCAGCAGGTCACTGGATTCACTGAGGTTAGGGTTGATGCAGACTTCTGCCCCTCTGTGTCTCTTCCTGAATCTTCTCTGTGGTTCTCTGGGGTTTAGGGCTCTGATCATCTCCCTAACTGACATGAGAACAAAACATCAACAATAACATGGTTGTGTTCTTATTGCTCAAAAACATTATCTAGGCTGAGAGATAAAAGCTTAACTGGTCAACAAAATCTTTTACAGCTTACTTACCTCCACCATGCAGCCTCCACTGTAGTTAAAAGCAGCAAACTTTAACAACAAAGTTTGTGACTGTCCTGTGGCCCCCACCTCACTTTTCTTTTGTCTGTCCTCCTCACATCAGGGTCAGAACCTCCTGTGAGGAACACATGAACATAAACAGTGAACATTAGTGAACTGTTTAACCTGCTGACCGGATGGATGAGCACATTTTTACAAGCTTCATTTGTTACTGTCAATCTTTAGTTAGTGTCTGAGTTTAGATAGCTACATATATAAAATAAAGCTACACACTAATATCTTAAAGTTAGCGTTACATGGATTCTAGTTTAACTCTCAGCGATGCACTTATTAAGCTGCAGTAATGTCAACAAACGTAAACTTACCAGCTGAAATCCTACACACAACTCCGTCCTCAGAGTTCTTTAATGAAGAGGAGTCCGGCTGTGGAATGTTGAATCAGGCCGTTCATTCTCTCTAACACTCACAGGCTGACTTTAATGCTGAGAGAGGAGGGGGAGGCTGCGGTCCCCCTTGAAGACAAACACGGAGCAACTTTCCACTTGTAAATTGAAGCCGTTCAACAACACACGTGCTGTACACATGAACCCCATCTGTGGGCATAACCAGCGTGTCATATGTCTGTCTGCGTGCTGGAACCACATGACATGTTACAGCCAATACCGAAACTTGACACCAAAAGAAGAGTGACGTATCAATCCATAGGTCGGTGCCATACAAGAATCTCGGTTCAGTATACATCACTACCTGGTTGTGAGTGTCACTGTACAATCTGTTATGGAAGCACGCTCCGTACTGTGCATTCAGCTCTGAGCGCAGGAGATGTGCGCCCCAGAATGGTCCTATCTCTTGTATTGAAGAGGAGCTAATGCGCATGTACAACTTTTATGGAGAGTCTATAGGTAAAGATTTTGTTGTCCCAGGGCGGAAATACGTCACCAATCAGACGAAGTTGATGAACGAAACAACTTTACTCATCATTAACTATAATATATTTATCTTACACAACAAAAAAAAATACCAGCATGGTGGCGCAACTGGTAGAGCTGCTGCCTCTCAGCGAGCAGGACAACGGTTCAAATCCCAGTCCTGGGGCCTTTCTGGGTGGAGTTTGCATGTTCTCTCTGTGCATGCGTGGGTTTTCTCCAGGTACTCCAGTTTCCTCCCACAGACCAAAAACATGCATGTTAGACTGATTGGTAACTGAATTGTCCCTAGGTGAGCATAAGAGAGTGAATGGTTGTTTGTCTCTATGTGTCCCTGTGATGGACTGGAGACCTGTCCAGGGTGTACCCCGCCCCTCACACAGTGATAGCCGGACATGGGCACCGGTGACCCCCGTGACCCAAAATGGAAAAAGCGGGTAAAAGATAATGGATGGATGGAACTAAAAATATATATACATATATTTGGAAATATTTCTATTTTATTATTTCATTTTGTTAATGTCTTATTCAAGATAATGTGGTGAGTGGTGAGTGGTGGGGCAGTGCCCTGACGCCCTCTATTGGCCAGCCGCCACTGGTTGTAGCTCATCATCCTGGTTTCATTAAGAGTTGTTATGCTGATGGCTATGGGCAGGACGGATCTGCAGCAGTCCGTACCACATTGAATCTGAAGAAACGTGCTGCAGATACCGATCGGTCCACCTGGACCCAGCAGGCCTCTCAGTACTCCTGGGCAGCAGGACTACCTGAATGTTGGGCAGAACTCCTCCCTGAGAGATGGCCACTCCTCTCAGCAGCTTTTTGAGCTCTTCATCATTTCCGCCAGCCAGCCATATATTTCAAAATATTTTTATTTTATGATTTCATTTTTCTTTAAATTTTTTAAGACTTCAGTGTAATATGAGTGGTGAGTTTGGTGAGTGGTTTGAGTGGTGGGGCGGCGCTCTAGCGCTCTCTGTTGACGAGCCGCCACTGCCCTGAACCCAAAAAGTTTGACAACCTCTGCTATAAAGACCAATAGTTGTTTGGGATTTACTTTTTAAATAATCTATGCTGAAAAATGCCCTAATTTAATTAGATCATGAAATGTACTGCCAGTGCCTCAACAGGGTCACTAATGCCCCTTTTCCACCACACCCACTCAGCCCTACTCTGCTCAGATCAGCTCTTTACACCTCACATTTCCACCACATTTCAGGACCGGTTCTGGAAGCGTGTCCAGAATCCAAAATCCTGCTAATGAACTTTTAATGAACTTTAGTTCACTGAGTGAGAGTTATGCGATGAGTTAAACTCAAAGCAGTCTGCTCCTCAGATAATGTTAAATTATTATTTTTAAATATGAATGTTTCTGTTCAGTGCCTGAGACGACGTCTGTTGTGACTTGCCGCTTTATAAATAAACTGAATTGAATTAAATCTAAATTTTTTTGAAGGATGACAATGAAATCCATGAAGAAAATGAAACTGTAAATGGATTTAATCATCATTTTGTGAACGTTGGATCAAGACTTGCAGCTAAAATACCAAAAGTAGACAATAATGTGAACCATTCAGTTATAAGTTGTGACAACAGTATTTTTCTTAATGGAACTGACAAAGAAGAAATAATGAATGTTGTAAAGAATCTTACAGATAAGAGATCAAAAGACTGGGTGGACATGGATATGATGTTTGTAAAGGACATAATGAGTTATGTTATCGAGCCGTTTACATATATTTGTAATTTATCATTTTCAAAAGGAATATTTCCAGACAATATGAAAGTAGCTAAGGTAGTTCCTCTCTTTAAAAATGGTGATAAATGTGTGTTCAATAATTATAGACCAATATCCTTATTACCACAGTTCTCAAAAATTCTAGAAAAACTGTTTGTGACAAGATTAGATAAATTTATTACTAAACAAAACATTCTAAGTAGCAGTCAGTATGGGTTTAGAGCAAAAAACTCTACATCAATGGCTCTCATGGAAATAATGGAACAAATAACTACTGCTGTCGATCAAATACAGTATTGTGTTAGTATTTTTGTTGATTTTAAAAAAGCATTCGATACTATTGACCACACTATTCTCCTTGAAAAATTAAATAAATATGGTATAAGAGGACCAGCATTACACTGGGTATCTAGCTATTTAAAAGATAGGAAACAGTTTGTACAAATAAATGGTGTAAGATCTGACCTGTGCAATATCACTTGTGGAGTTCCTCAAGGCTCTGTACTTGGACCAAAGTTATTTATTTTATATGTGAATGACTTAGTGAATGTATCAGGACTCCTCAAATGTGTCCTTTTTGCAGATGACACCACATTTTTTTGTTTGGGTAAACATGTAAAACAGATGTTGAAATTGATGAAGACAGAATTTGATAAAATACAAACTTGGATTAAACTTAATAAATTATCATTAAATTTAGATAAAACTAATTTAGTAACAAAAAGAGAACTGTTGATGATCCATTTAAAATTGAGGGTGTTGAGATTTGTAGAGTTAATGAGATGAAATTTTTGGGTGTAATCATTGATGAACAGCTAACATGGAAAAATCACATCAATTCTGTAAGAACAAAAATATCTAAATCTATTGCAGTACTATACAAAGTCAGGGAATTATTAAATGATAAAGCTCTGTACATGTTGTATAACACAATCATTGTTCCACATTTGATCTATTGCATTGATGTTTGGGGGAAAGCGTGTAAAACATTTACAAAACCTATTTTTATTTTACAGAAAAGAGCTGTAAGAATAATCACCAGAAAGCATTACAGTCACCCATCAAGCACATTATTTTATCAACTGAACTTATTGAAGTTCCATGATTTGGTAGATTATAGTATTTTATCAGTTATGTATAGAGCTCAAAATAACACATTACCATTAAATATCCAAATAAATTTTGTTAAGAGACAAAGTTGTTACAATCTTAAGGGGATAGAGATATTTGTCAAACCAACATTCAGAACTAGTCTGAAGGGAAGGTCTACCTCAATCCAAGGAGTTGGATTGTGGAATGGTCTAGAGAGTGATGTGAAAAATGACAAGTCAATGTGTACATTTAAGAAAAAGATCAAATCTAGATTGTTAAAAAAGTATATATGAAGTAGCTTAGTGTGTGTTTTGTATTAGAATTAGAAAAATTAGAAAGTTATTCATTTTGTTCTGTTACTTGAAGATTATTATGATTGAAATAATTGTTTGAAAAAAGGGGCAGATATAATAAGATTATTTCTTCTTTCTGCTGCCTTTCATTTTAAATCTTTTGTATCTTTTTATATTGTTATGGAATTGTTTTGTACTTTTTTAAATGAATAAACTTTATACCATACCATACCATACCATACCAAATCTCTGATGAACCAGATTGTACAACAACATGTATATTTAAAATTCTATATTTTCGTCATCATTTGATGTATTTGAACTGATTGTGTTTACTTTTATTGTTCAGTTTAGATATGTGGTTTTATTTCTTGTATACAGATTTTATTTTAGCTTTAATTTAAAGTTTAATTCTTGTTTTGTGATTTGTACGTCTCTGGGTTAGAATAAAGTTGAACTAAAGGCTGTGTCTTTTCTTTAAACATGTTTGAGGGAAATATTCCTGAGATCCAATAATTTAGTCTTTATGATTTTTCAGCTGAGTTAACTTTAATTAACAGATTATTTTTTATACATAAAATGTTTTAAAAAATGTTTCCACCCTCCGTCCCGGTCCTCCCGCCTGCCAGGGCCTGGAATCTGGCCTTTGTGAGCACACGAGGCCCTTGTCCCCGGACCCCGGCTCGTGTGCTTCAGCGGGTCGGCAGCTCTTATGATCTCGGTGGTGACTCCGCTCACTCTGAGTTTTGTCGTCGTCACCAAACACATAAAACACCTGGACTTCATCCTTAAACACCATGTTGTCATTATTGTTTTTAAAATGTTAAAAATAGATCCAGCTGCTGCTCCGCGCTCAGAGTAATTGCAAATGGTAGATGGGCGAAGAGTTTCTGAGAGATCCAGTGACTCCGCCCCCTGACCAATCAGAGACTGACAGTGTTCTGACGTCACGTTTAGGTGCCGACTCAGCTCGAACGGTCCCACCAGAGAAGCAGGGACAAAAAAAGGGTCCGAATCAGCCTCGAATCAGCTAAAAGTACTCGTGGAAAAGTGCTCAAACCGTAGCGAGCTGCGAAGAGCTGGGGCTGAGATATGACAACAACACATCTGAATCTCAGTCCCTGACAGCACTTGCAGGCAGACAGAAACACAGAGTAGAAAGCAAGCCTCAAATAAACCATATTTTGTAATAAAAATAGAAAAAATTCAAATTAAAAAAAGGCTGGGTTCTCTCACTGGTTTTGCCAAACATGGACATTTGCATGATGTGCCACTGAACACTGGTCCTGACTGGGACGTGCTTTCATTCCAAACATGTGGTGGCAGGACGTCCAAGAGTGTGATGGAAACAGAAGAACAAACGTTGAGTACTGATGGGGTGCTGCACTCTTTATGCCTTGTCACATTCATGGTTGAGTTGAGGGTGAGGTAAGAGATAAAGTTCAAACACACCATCAGCAGGTGCGTTTCAATCTTACAACTTCACATTTTGCACAATTATTTCTCCACAACCATTTAAGGAAAGCAACAGGAAGAATACAGGA